ACCTCTTGCCATGTCTGTCATGCAAATGTCTGACATGTACTGATGCAATCACTCTAACATGCAGGAGCAGCACTGACATGTTTGACATGTACTGTTACGCTCATCACTGCCTGAAAACCTGATTTCAAAAAAAGAAAAGCGCCCGACTTTCTTTGACCAATCCAGCTGTGCACTCAGCACCCAGGAACTGGTCTGCAGGTACATTTACACTGCATGCACAAGAGCGTCCTCATTGGCTGGAGACTCTTGTGATGCACTCCAGCCCCCTGCATAAGTAAATAAAGAAACCTTGGCAGACAGGTGGTTCACACACACACACACACACACACACACCCGCGCACACACACACACACACCAGACCCAGACAAGGTAACTCCCGTGTCTGGCGTAAGTGAAGTAATGGCCAGTGTCCAGAATCCCACGGTGCACGATCACTGCCCGAAGATCGTAGACAAGGCCTCGCTGCTCTGCAAGAAGGAAGAGCTCTTCCTCCAGACAGCGCAAGTTTTCCAAGAGCTCCTCCTGCCTTTCCGCAAGGCGCCAAAGGTGGTCCGGGAGCTGCGAAAAGGAACTTTCACAACGGCTCTCCAAATCCGCCCCTTCGTTCTGAGGAGCCAACAGCTCCCTCTCAGCCAAACTTTCCGTTCTTATTTTGCTCTGGGCTCGGGCTTCCTCCGTTTCCTCCGTTGCTTCCCCCATTTTACCCTGCGTGGTTTGGATGCGTAGAAGACTTCGGTTCCGCATCAGCTCGCTTTGCAATCCTCGGCGCCGCTGAAGGAGCTCGTTGACAGACTTTTCGCTTGCTTCTGAAAGCGATTCCTGCGAAAGCATCCAGGCATTCAATTTCTTCGGGAAGGTCACCCGCAGTCTCCTCTTCACGCCCCGCATAGCGCACCGGTCAAAGCGGAATCGGTCCAGGTTCAGCCAAAGGATGGGAGGAAGCCTGTAGGATATCCGAACAATGCTTCCTCGCAGGTCATGCACATGGTCTTCCAAAAGCTCCGGCAAAGATTGAGGCTTCGTCACGCAGAGGTCCAACTGGAAAAACTCCAAGGGCACTTGCCGCTTCTCTCCAGATTCTAACTCCTCAATGAGCTCACCTCCGAAAAGTTGCTGAGAAACAGCCTGAAGTTGCAGATAACCGCCTCTTTTCGCGAGCGCAAAGAATTTTTCCACCTGCTCCGAAACATCTGCCTCCTCCGAAGTCTCGAAGATGCATCGGTAAAGCTGCCCAGCATCTATGGCACCAGTTAACCCCATGTCCATTTCCACAAACAAGTCACGCATCATGGACAGAATCGCCCAGCATCTATCCGCTTGCTGAGCTTGCACGGAATCTTGCACAACTTCCATTTGAAAGAGCACGATGCGCCACTGAGGTGCTGCAAAGAAGAGCACTTGTAGAAGGGCGTTCCAGAAACAGGAGTTCCCAGCATTTAGCAATCCTGCCGGTGCAAAAGGCCCTTCGGGCCCAACCATGGGCCGCAAGCCCAAATCACGAGAGACGCTGTCTCTAAAAGCTTGCTGCAGCTCGGATAGCTGTTCGCGTTCCATGGGTCAACCGGCAGAGCGCGCGAGAAGTCTGAGAGTATCCCTTTGGAGTGCAGGTGCGCTCATGTGCTCTTGTGCCAACATGAGAGGGCGAAATTATCCATGTCCTTCCACAGCTAACCTGACAGCACACAGGGAGCATGAGTCCTTGACAAAAACGCGGAAGCCATTCTGAAGAATGAGCTCCTGATTGGACTGATTTATGAAAGAACCATAGGAAATTCCAAAACATGAGCGTGCCTCTCCGAAACTGTTGGATTCCGTGGTTTCTTCTGCTGTTGCCCCTGCCCGGCTGGGCGTTGGTACGCCGCGGGTGTGGACCTTGACACTGCCAAGCTGTTCAGAGGCCCAATTTCTCGGTTCAAGTCACTGAAGCAAAGCCAGCGAAGCAACAGCTTGACAAGGCATTTCACATGGCAGCAAGCCAACTTACCAAGTCTGACTCTGACTGCGTTGTCACAAGTGCGCAAGCCTGAACATGAAACAGTAATGTAGATGCACTCCAGTTGCCTCGCGCCGCCTGATCTCGCATGACTGGGATGTCTTGCGCAAGCGCTCTGAAGCAGTTGCATCAAAGAGCAGCTTCAAACGCGAATCCTTAGCTGGCCATCGAATCAGGATCCTTTGTCTTTGCCTTGTTTTTGGCTTTGCGCTTGCTCCTGTCACTGCCCGGCCCTTCACGCATTCAGGAAAATGCCAGAGCACAACGTCGTCTTCGTCCGCGGGCCAGGCCTACAGGGAGAATGTGGAGGGTTCTGTAAGTTCTGTACTGTAACCAGCTCCAATCGTAGGCACCTCCAAGTGCTCCGTGGCCACGCTTCGCAGGATCTCGGCCACGTCCTCCTCGTCACGACAACGGCGAACGCCAAATCAAACTACCATGGTTACAAAAGGTGCTGCTCACGGGTAAAAGCATGCTGCTTACCCTGCAATCGGGTGGCAGCGCTTTGAAACGAGGTTTGAAGCCCTTTCCCACAAGCCTCTTGGAGGTTGAGGTCTCGGTTCGGTTAGGGTGTATCTGCGCAAATAATGGGATTTCTCAACCGACCAAGCTAGCTGCATACTGAAGCCTGAATTAAACATGCGCCTATGTGTTTAAACGTGGACATGTCCCCAGTATCAGATCCGGTGACTCATCTTCTGACAGCTGCATAATTTGTAACGTGGGGTTCAGAAGCAATATTGAATCAATCGCTAGCCTGCGTCACAGTGCGAAACTGCATTCTGCAAGGACCACAACTCGCAGCACTGAAGCCCCCACAAGAGCTGCATGTTCAACAATTTGCCTCCCGCCGCCGGCTGTGAGTCTAGCTGAAGGGTTGCTTAACCAATCTCTCACAAGACTTTCAATACTAACCTGACTAATTACTACTTGAAGTAAGCTCCCATCGACTGTCTCCTCGCTGGGTAAATCAAGGGAGGGCCGTGGTAACTGAAGCTGACGGCAAGCCTGGCTGTTGATGCGCATTGAAGAATGCAATCTACTTAGACTAGCTGGTTTCAGAAAGTTCTTTCCCTCGGGCCTGGAGCCAGCTCCATGCAGTATATGCCGGAGTGCGCAAAGACATCAAAGGCGTGGCCTCAAAGCGTGATTTCACAGCGGCGGCCTCGCCTTGAAATCCAAGGTTAGCCTTCCAGGATAACCACTTTCAGGCATGCAAGAATGCCTGGCCATGCTTGGCATGTAACCCTACTTTACATGTTCTCGGTGGTGCTCCCACTTTTGTGTGCCAGATGGTCTGGATTGCTTACCGTCACGCCAACTGCATGCCTGCAATTTGTTGTCAAAACCTTAATGCCTCCATTCATAGCCTGGCCGCTCACGCCTTGTTCTATGGTACTGAGCTAAATCTTCGATTGCCGCAAGTCTTTGCCATCCTTTGCCACACGCTTGGCCTATTGAATGAGCCTAACACAGCACCTGCATGAGACGAATTGCAGCAGGTAGCAATCTTGACCACCACATCGCGGTCGAAATCGTAGAGCTTAGCGACGTTTGACACCTGCGGGGTGAAAGATTTGAAGTTTTTCTGCCGTGACGACGAAAAGGCCTCGTCTTCAGAGATGCATGGGATGAGCACCGCGGCCATGCGAGCACGGTCCAGCACACCCGGAGCGTGGTCCTTTCAAAGGAATTGGAAATGAGCGCAGGAAAGGTGAAGGAGGACAACAAAAATTGTCTTCGGCGGAACGCCCGACTGCCCTTCCGCCGTCGCCCACCTCCAGAAAGAAGCATGCCCCCAAATTGCCACAACATGATCCTTCAATATACCATGCATTAACCTTTCTGTAAAACGTGATTGAGCGATATGTGCTCATAATAAACCGGTTTGCGCACTCACTCGCACACCAACTGTTTTATTCAATGGCGGATCTCGCAACTTTTCTCAATCCAACCAACCACCATTGTTTATGGCAAAACACTATATACTATTGCATGGCGTAGCTACATTAAAGGAAATTGGAGCCAAGCATTGAGGCATTGCAATCAATTGTCACTACCCCCGTGCATATGATACATGTGGGTAAGTGGGTGAAGTCGTACTCTTTGACACCCCCCTTTGAATGTCAACTAGTTGAATGAAATGAATACTGCAAGAGCTCGAATTTTTACACGACGCAACATAAAATCAAACAAAGGTGAAGCGAGGCCTTGATGGCTTCAGTGCCGGGCAAAGCCCAGAGCACTTGTGAAACGAAATATGTCCATCACAGCCCAACCTTGTGCTTCATGCCACGCATGCCTATCGGGAACCTGACCGTTGATCTTACAAGTGAGACTCTTGTGGCAGATCTCGCGGTACTCCTTATCAAACATAGTTACTGCGCATTTGGTCAGCCATAAAAAAGTTGTCGCGATCAGGACGATCGCGTTTCTCTTGACCTCCGTACATCCCCTCGATACACCGATACACCAGTGCAGGACATCATCCTTGCAAATACTTTGAGGCATGTGTCGGTACGCCACATAGCGGAATTTCTTGATGCGCAGTGCGTTGGAGAGGAGCAGTCTCAATCTGGAGCTTGCAAGACTTCACTGCCCTTCACCTTGATCAGGGCGGATCTTGTAATAGCCGCCTGTGTTCACCTCGATGAGCGGGGACAAGAATTCATTGACATTCAGCGTGCTGTAGGCCCAGTTGGATTCGAAGAACTTCATAGCAAAGGTCCAGATTCTCGCAAGGAAGGATTGGAGAGTCGCCGGCATTGTAACGATTCTTGTTCATCCAGGCTTCGCGGGCGCGTTGGTATTCTTTTTGGCCAGATCCTTGTACCCATTCCATGTACTCCTCCCTGCTTGGCATCCTCGGGAGATTGGTGTCCTCATCAATGGACGTGTGGCAGAAAAATGCCTTCTCTCGAATGGATTGCGATGATCGTAGTCGTCGAGTAGATCTTTCCTAAGGTACGCAAACACCTCATTCATTAACTCCTATCCGCCATCTAGATCCAGGTTCAGATCCCTTCAAAGGCTTCTTATTAAGCAAAAAAATAAGATTTGTCGTTCTTTGTCTTTATTTGTCGTTATTGGTCTTTTTTGTCTGTATTTGTTGTTTTGCTTTTGTCTCGTGCTATCTCTCTGTGATCATGATAACAATATGCATTTTCATTCCTACAAGCACCTCTGTTGCGACAGCAATTTTGGCATGAGTAGGACAGCATGCTAGCAGAAAGGATGGCGCGCCCAGCACACAAATGACCGTGGTAGAATAACTGGGCATTCTCATTCCTGCAAGCAGTTCTTCCGTGAAAGCATTTTGCCATGAGCAGGAATTTTGCTAGCAGAAAAGGTGGCGTGCCCGGCTCATGAATTATAATAGTAGTGATGATCTCGGTCGACGATCCAGTTGAGTGTCCGGTCTTAGAGGTCTGTGACAAATATGTGATCATAGATCCATCCAATATCGAGTATGACTCTACATCTCCTGAGTCCTCATCAGCCACCCGTGATGATAAACAAGGGGAAGAAGAAGACCCAGCCGAAGATGAGGCACGGGATCTCCCCACTCGCAAAGTTGGTGATATCATCTCAGTGAAAGTTACGTGTCCGGTGGATCAGGACAACGATGTGTGGGCGGAAATTGTTGATGACTTCAGGGCAGTGGTCATAACGGCTCCCCAACAGTATTTACCTAAGCTTAAGGCAGGGCATGTCATCGAAGAGGTCAAGATGATAGGCCTCAGAGGTCAGTACTTCGTCTGCGAAGCCCCACCCCATCTCGCAGTGATATATGGGGAGCCTGAAGACTTTGGTAATAACGAAGAGGATGCCAGAAACCAGCCCGAGCAGCGTCCACCATTTCATCAACAGTATCCTTCCATCGGGGTACTGAGAGATAGACATAAGATGAGAACACAGTCCAACAGACTGTGCAAGTACTATCCTAGGGCTTCGTGTTCGCTTGGTTACTTCTGTAACTTCAAGCATTTAGATTCAGAAGCTCCTCCTGGACGGTCCTTTGCAGAGCTTCGCAAGGATGGAGACGTAAGAGGCATACCCGTGACGAATCGTCAAGCGTGCTACCATTGGAGAGACGTTGCTTGTAGGTTTGGAAATTCATGCAGAAATGCGCATTTCAGGCCTGCGTGGGCTCATGATAATGCACCACAGCAGGTAACAAGTCAGCCTGCACGGTCAGATGAGCCTACGGATGCATCGCAGAGTCAGTGGCCTCCCTTGTCTTCACAGGGTGGTAATTCACAGGCTTTGCCAAGCAAGTGGCCTGCACCTTCCCAACCTACAGGTAATACTGTGCCTCCAGCAGCAGCGCAACCACCCTCTCAAGGTGGAGTCACAGCTTAGGTAGTATGGCTCCTGATCGTGACGATTGGGCAACAATAGTTGCGAGGGTGCTGCCATTCGTTCTGCCTCGAGAATGTTCTGGTACTAAACATGAGCAGACTGTTGGAATGAGGGATGGGAATAGTCTGGTAGCTACACGCTGCGTCGAACTCCCTCCTCATAGACAGGTGCCCGCAGTTAATCCCACAGGTACCTGCATGCCATCGGCATCCATTCGTAGCATAATGGCCGCAGCGGCTAAAGCTACCCTACAGCCTCTCAGCACTAATCAACCTCAAGCCGAAAAGCGAGTGTACCCATTCTCGCAGTGCAAACAGGCAGTAATACACCTGAAGATCAGGGAATCCTCAACCCAGTTGCCTACTGGTGCTCGTCCTCTTTGGGCAGATATGTCTATGAATGACCAGGATGGAGATCTTGATGGTAGTAAACCTTTGGTAGACAAGGTGGCTGACAACAGCCAACGCAGTATACCTTCATCCCCACCGTCTTACCCGCTGTTTGATAGAGCTTGGACGAATTCTGTCAAGTGGGAGCAAAGAGAGTTGGCGGCCAAACCAATCTTGGTTGCTGCGTTTGACTACATTGGTTTTCGTGATCCGTCAGGTACTGCAGATGATCTGTTGCAAGAGTCCTGGAATGATATCTTGTCCATCGTCAAGACCAAAAACACCTTAACAGCGTGGGTCCATACGCTTCGGGCCAAGAATCCAGCACCACGTCTTCCACAGCGTTTCCAAAGGCCTCTTCCACAGCCAACGCCAGCAGTGCTCCTGCCCCAGTGGTGCAGCCTTTGCAACTTCCTCCACAGGTTGTCCTGCCGTGCCAGGTCCTAGGCCTTCCAGTATGCCATTGGTCGGAACGTGGTGTATGCCTCTCCGTGCTGCAAGGCGCCAACATCACTACATTGGAAGTCCTCGGTCACCCGGGCATAGCAAACCCAACTCGTTCGAGGACCAGTATGACGCATTGGACAAGCGCAATCAGACCGCGCTGTCCGCAGAAGATGGTGAAGTCTTTCTCACCCCTAAGTCAGGGTTAGAAGAACCGTCTCCCAGCACAACTGCAGCTCAGGATAAATCTGTTAGGTTTAATCAAGATGCTCGCGCACGTCCGGGGAATGGGCAATGCATAGGCGCGCACCGCGCACCGCGCACTCGCAGTCCTCCTCAGAGACCTCCTCCGTGAGCAAGGAGCCGACAAAGGTTCCACAGCCTGAACTGGAAGAGCTGGTCAAGGTTATGATTAGCTGTGAAGAACAAGCCGATGAATTGTACGGCCACTTCAGTGTTTGGCAGGACAACCTGTCAACCGTCAGAAGCATGACGTTGGTAGATCCTCTGGAGGAGGAAATTCAAGAAAGTCAAATCCCCTATCAACTGGTAGTGTTCGGGGAAGATGTAACTTCGGAAAGGTCAGATAATGACCCTCCTAGAGTCGCCAGTGTAGAGGTAGTGGAGGAAAATCTGGATCTTCACAATTCCATTGGACGAAGTGAAGGCTTATAGAAAAATGGAGACCCTCGATTGAAGCGGAATACGAGTCCTTGGTAAATAAAACCGGGGCGGTGGAGCCGCTAACTGAAGAGGCATTCCAGGAGCTCTGCAAAAGTCACGTAGTAGTGAACTAGCTAATCCCTAACACCCGCCACCATCCCACTAGCACCA